GGGGGGGGGGGGGGGGGGTTAGAGTAGAAGGTTTAGAAGGCTGTGATAAGGGCTCATCTAGTCAAAGACTGTTCAGTTATTGCTATTTTTGCTAGTGTTCCAAGAATTGTTTTGGAGGTATTTAAGTACCTTTTTTTTTTTCCTATTGATTTCACAGAGAGGAGGCCATGATTGAATACCTAAAGGCTGCCCAGGATTTAGAAATGTATGGAGTGAACTATTTTGACATCAAAAACAAAAGAGGGACAGAACTCTTCCTTGGTGTAGATGCATTGGGTTTGAACATTTATGAAAAAGAAGACAAGTAAGATTTGTTAAGTTTTGTTCACAGAAGGGGCTTGCACTCTAAAGTGAAGGTGAAAAGATACTTTCATGGGTGGGATACAAAAAATTACAATTAAAGCAAGTGCTTGGAATTAATCCTTATAAAACTAAATATTTCAAAGCTTGTAAACAACCCAATTTTGATAATGTTGGTTTTTTCCCCCCTTAAATGTTGAGATGATAATTGAGCAGAAAGAGAAAAGTACTTAATATGTTTCTTTAATCAATTTAAATGTGCTTGTGTTTTATTATTTCTGCAAACAATCTTTGGGAAGTCAATCAACACTGGCTGATTTTTGATTGACATCTTCTTTCAAAAGTTTTAAGCTTTTCAAGTTCAAGTATGTAATACTTTATTTCTGACCTTGGCACTTTTCAACCACATCTCAAAAATGTTTTGCAAAATCAAAATTTGGTCACAAAATTTGGTCACAAAATTTGGCCACCATTTGCTTACTTTTGTCTGAATTTGATTTTTCCATAAATTCTTGCCTGAACTAATCTCTTTGTGGTGGTGAATTTCTGTAGATTTTGCTTAATTACTTGACATTTTTGAAAAAATGTTGTCCCTGAAAGTATCTTGCATCCTTAAGGTAGTGAGTAATATATCGTCTGTAACTAAGGTCCATGTCCTACAGTATGTGTCAATCCAGTTCCTTTTTTTCTGTGTCAACCATTCCTTACTTCTGTTGCTTCTACCATTGCATTGAATAACTTTGATCATGGGAATTATCCTATCTAGGATTTGTTTATTGAAACCTGAACATTTTTCTAAGTCAAATAGCTGTTGTTGTTGTGGTGGTGGTGGTTTTTGTTTTTAATCAAACTTTCATTATCTTTTGTACATTGTCATTGTTCAACATCAATCATTAACCTTTAATCCCTGAGAGTAACAAGGTACCAATTTCCCTTTACAATCCATCCCTTCAATCAATTGTTTAAGTTAGGAGAGTGAAGGAAATGATCAGCAACTAACAAAGCTCTTGATGTTTTTACTAATTCTCCTTGTTAGAACCTAGGAAATGTATAGAGAACAGTATGGAGAATATGCATACTGATGTTAGGTTGTAAAGGGTTAAGCTAACAAAAAATAGACATGTCACAAGTTATACTTTTCTCTTCAGGCTGACCCCCAAGATTGGATTTCCTTGGAGTGAGATCAGAAACATTTCCTTTAATGACAAGAAATTTATTATCAAACCTATTGATAAAAAAGCTCCAGTAAGTGTTTGCTTTTCATCACCAATGAGTTTTGTAGGGGTTATCATTTCCAGTAATAAACTGCATCAGTACAAGAATTTTCTCTTCAGTCAGTTTAAGTTTTAGCATAAGATTGCTTATGGTCCAAAGTGGCTCTTCTGGGTTAATTTAAAACACTTTGTTGTGGGCTTTTGCCTGACTGCATCAAGCAGTGAATTAAGGAAATTTTTTTAAGTGCCTGCAATATCTGATTTTAGACCAGACCATAACAAGGGGAGATATACTCCCTACTCTTAGCAAGAAGTGTGTGGGTCCTTTAATGTCTTCTGCTTACCAGTACAGAGAATATACTGAGACCTTCTATTGAGTGTTGTTTCTCTTGGCTTTGGCCAAGTAGTTATATGGTGCTTCTTAAGTGTAATCACTGGGGATTTGAACTGTAGCATTTGTTTTTGTTCTTTATTTTTTAATGAAGTACTAAATGGCGAAGTAAAGATTTCAGTCAGATTTTTCTTTAGCCAATTAGCTGCTTTGCGTTCAAATTTGCCCTAAACTTTCCATTTCACATAGTGTACTTATTTAAAAATCTTTTCCTACAATAACAGTGAGCTAGTGTTAATTCTCTTTTGAATTTCTGTTGCATAGGACTTTGTTTTCTATGCTGCTCGCCTGAGAATAAACAAGCGAATTCTGGCTCTCTGCATGGGAAATCATGAACTTTACATGAGACGCAGGAAACCTGACACCATTGAAGTTCAGCAGATGAAAGCACAAGCTATGGAAGAGAGACAGTCTAAGTTGAAGGAAAGGTTAGTTTTCTGCTAGTACTGATGTAGCTCTCTATGCTAGAAAATGCTATAAAAACTAGAGAAATAGAACAGTACAGCTTGTTCTGCTATCTACAGACCTGTACAATCATGCATAATCATAACTTGGAGTTATAAAGTGAACACAAAATTTTTAAAGCAGGAATTTGACAAAGAAAGATGCAAAAACTTGACATTATCTATTTAGCTTTTAATTTAAAAATAAGAAGTGGTATATTTTTTTTCCTTCGTTGTGTCATGTGTCCTTGTTGTAGGCAAAGGCTGGAAAAAGAGAAGTCAGCACGTGAAACGGCTGAGGCAGAGAGGAGGAAGCTCGAGGAAGAGTTACATAAACTTAAAATGGAGCAGGAAAGACAAGTCAGAGGTACACAGTCAAAGCTCTTTTGATAGAGTCTACAATCATAGACAAAACTAGGGGAAACAAAACTGAAATCTGAGCTACGAATCACTTACCTCCAAGATGTCTTAAACATGATTTCTACTGCCCTTACCCTCATCAAATTTTGTCAGAAGGCATTCCAATATCAAATAAAGACCTTGCTGAGAGACAGGAACTACTGATTGGAGCAGACAAGGGATTCAATATATTATTATGCAGGAGGGAAATGATATGACAATTAGGTGAATTTTCTTAAAAGTTAAGTCTGAAATTGAAGCCTCTTAAAGTTAATGCAGTGGTCAGAGTTTGGAGCTCAAACTGCTTAGCTAGACTTAGATGTGATAGTTTGAGTTTGTGTTTAGTCCTTAAGCCTCCTCAGCAGTTTACTCTCCAGGATTTCTGGATGTCTAGTTTTTGTCCCTCTAAAATAAAAATTCCAATTCAACCAGCCACTGTGGAAATCCAATTTTTTTAAATTTTCTTTAAGAGGGACACTATGCTCTATGGAAATGTAGGGTTAGTCCTTGCCATCTGTATTCTGATTCCAAGGTTTCAAGCTTAACCCTGTAACTACCGACAAGATCTTATTGTTAATTCTCCCCTCTAACCTGCGATACATTTCCTTAGTTACGTGAAGTTGGTGTTTGATCAAGATAACTTCTACCTGTTGAGTTTTCTTATTACCTTTCTGCTGGATAATGTGTGGATATTTTAGGGAGAAGTTACATGTTAATCAACTCAAGGAGTTAAAGGGTTAAGTTTTCATTGACTTGTTTAATGCTTACTATTTGAACTGCAAGTTCCCTTCAATGTCTACAAAAACCATAATTTTTACCGTAAAAAGTAAGCACAGGTGTGGTTTTGATGTTGTTGCAGAAAAGGAAGAGGCAGAGGAGAAAGCCAAAGAATTATTGAGAAAAAAGGCTGAACTTGAAGAAGAGACACGCAAACAGGAAGAGCAAAAAAGGCAACAACAGGAAGAAATTGAAGAAATGAAGAGGAAACAGAGAGAAGAAGAAGGGGAGAAAGAGAAAATGGTACGTGTAGATCTTACATTAAAGAAAGAAAACTGAAGTGCTTTGGAAGCAGCAGTCTGGATAAAAGTGTTTGCTTCTCTATAGTACTGTGTTGCAACAGAACTCAGTGAGGAGTCATTTTTTTGAGCCAAACAAGTAAACTAATAAGCTTGAATTAAAGGATGTGAGATGCATAAGATTTGTTTATCAAAGAAATTACAAGTTATCCACAACAGTAATTTACCACTGTCTCAACCCAATGAACAAGTTGCCAGTAATCAGATCCTTGCATTTGCACAAAGATTACTGGGATCACCATGGGGCAAACACTGCAAGCTGCTCAAAGAAAATGTGTGGTGAAAGGTTGTTTCAACATCTAAAAAAAATTAGTAGTGGACTGAGCACATAAACAAAGCTGAAAAGGCTTTATTGGTTTGTTTCTTGGCAATTTATTGCTACTAATTTCAAATTTTGAGACCATTAAGCAATGTCAGTTTCACAATAAACCTTGCGCATAGAGAAATGTTTAGATTAGATAGATTTTACTACATATTTTAAGATTGTTCAAACAAAAACTTGCACTTCCCTTGTATCAACATAACTCAAATCCATTTCTGATAAAACAGCTGTGAAAAGGGGAGAATCTCTATCCAAAATTGTTTCTTTGGATGTTGAAACAACCTCTTGCCATAAATTTCTTTCTAGTGAGTTGCAATGTTTGTCCTGTAGCAAACACAAGGATCCAATTACCGACAATTTATTCATTGTGTAGTGGTCATTGTTCTAAGGGGATTGTGCACATTGATCTAACTGCACAAGGGGAAAATATTTGTTTGTTGAGTTTTTTTTTTTCTCAACTGTTCAAAAAGGCCCAGGAAATAGTGCAGAAAGAGGAGGCGCTTTCTCTGTTAATGGAACAAGAAAAACAAGCACAAGAGGAAAGAGAAAAGATCAGACTGGAGGTGAACATTTTCATCCTTAAAGGGGCTCACTTGTTCTTTTTATTCTGAAGTGATTTATGAATGTTATGAGTTGTATTTTGCATCTTTTATTCATCAATTTTATATTACTGGCCGTTAGCTCCCTATAAGTACAATTGCTCCAGTGATTATGGAGATGAGTGTGCTCTGATTGGTGAAGTGGTCATTGCATCATATCTCACTATAATCTGTGAGGTAACTATAGCAGGGGTGCTGAATTTCTAAATAGCTACCTTGCATTTTGTAATTGTTATGCAGGAAGTGATAAACGTGATGGAAGAAAATGAAATCTTGAACAGCACAAAAGATGCTATTGAGTTTGGCAGAACACTTTTTAAAAGAGAGAGAGAAGAATGTTTTGTTGGTCTAATTAAATGAACCTGTTAAATTCTAATGGAATCTGGCTGTTTATCTCGGTCCATTTAATTTAAAAAAAATAGTAACAAAATGGTTTCAACAACAAAACAAATTTATAACAGAATTCGAAAGCACTCAAGCAATTATACTAAAACAATGCACTTGCTTGTTCTTGTGGTTCAGTGATCCAGTGCCAAAATTACGGTGTGAGGATGAGGCTAAGAGAGAAGTTGCTCTCATCAATAAAGAATTAAGAGCTGTGGTGGTGAAAATGAGAGAAAATTTCTTTAAATTAAGTGTGGAGTGAAAAATTTTTTGTAGTAGAGAGGCATCAGCTTACTGATAGCAGCAAAGGAAAGAAAAAAGCAGAATTGTTGGATTTATGCAAGAAAACTGCAGCAGTGAAGCATATAAAACCAGCTGCTTCTGCTGTAGGGCAAGAAATTTCAAACACACTTCTTCTGTAACTTTCCAGAGTTCTTGTTTGACGTTTGCACGCAGCCAGGCCAAACCTAACCTCATTTTCTTGTTTGTCATCAATTAAGCATTGTTTTGTTTTTTTCTTTGCTGATTTGCAGCAAGGGCCTACTGTAATTTGCAAAACGATCTAATCAAAATGAATTGGAAATCTGTTGTAGTTGTTATAGTTTGCTTGGTTATGTATATAAAATCCACACTGGTGGTGAACTGACCAATTCATTTTTTTGGACTGGTGGCCATAAATTTTCTGCACTTTTTGTGTCACAAACTACTGAACTACAGATTTTCCATTTTGCAAATTTCAGATTTTCATTTTGAAAATTACAAATTTTGAGTTATTTCTCAAATTACAGAATGCAATTTCATTTCGCAAACTACAGTAAGCCCTTGCTAGAAATCAGCAAGACATAAGGCAACAGTTAAAAAAGGACATAAAAACAACTGAGGCAAGACTGCATGCAGATGTCGAGTAAGGGCTCTGGACTGTTAGAGAAGTTGTAGGTCCCAGCATTCAAAATTTTTGGTACTGGAGTTTGCTCTCTCTTAGAATGTTAGAGAAGTTGTATGTCCAAGCATTCAAAATTTTGACACTGGAATGTACTCTTCAAATCCTCCTGTGTTTGCAGACTAGGTGCACATCACTTGCAAATTGTTGATTTCCAACATTGCAACTTTATGCATTGTTAATTTTTAAAAGTCACTATGGCAGGGTGGTTTTGGACTCTGCCTCAACCTAGTACTTAATTTGTATCTTTGTTTGCATATTTCTAGCTTGAAAGCCAACAGGAAGAGACAAAGAGGCTCCAGGAGAAAACAGTCCTATTAGAAGAGCAAGCTCTTTCAGCCCAGGTTAAGGAAGATCATATTGAAATGGAGGAAACACAAACAACACTTGAAACAGAACTTGAGGTAGATCCCCTTGTAGAAGGAGACAGATCTGAAGAAAATCGTATTACAGAAGCTGAAAAGAATGAGCGACAGCGAAAAATGCTTCAGGTATTGATGCAGTGATTGATGAACTTTTTGAATATGAGAGTTCCAAAAGTATCAGTATTCAATTTTTTTGCTTACCTATACAGACATTACATTTCCAGTGGTCTGATTGAAGTTTTGGTAGTGAAGATAAGAAATTTTAAAATTCAACTCATGGATGCACAAGAGAACTAGTAAACTTTTCCACAGTATAAACTGTATAGATTTGGGGATGTAAAGGATAGTTTTTGTTGCAAAATCTCCCCTGAATTTCATCTTTGTCGACATGTTAACACCCCAATTTATTATTCAGTGTATTATGACATTATAAATTATATAATTGAGTGGGGTTAGCTGAATTAACAGGTACAGTAGAATACTGACCTCTCAAGTCTTCCTTTTCTTTAACCTGCAATTGTTCAAACAAGAACTCGGTTCCCTTCCTCAGTCAAGCAGTGTAATTTTGCCCTTAAGGGATTCCAACTTAACTAATTTTCTCTCTGAGTTAAGAACAATTGGGATTCCCCTTTGTAAGGGGGTCAAGAATTCATGTAACAGGTCTGTAATGCTTGGGCCAAATTATTCTTACTGTGTTATTTGAACCCCTTCTGTTTTAGCTACTTCAAGAGGATCTCCGGAAAGAGGAAAAGAATTACTCTGCTTACGACAAACTCCACATGCAGAACCAGAAAGAAGGAAGAGATAAATACAAGACGCTGAAGCAAATCAGACAAGGCAATACAAAGCAGAGGGTTGATGAATTTGAAGCCATGTAGAGTCTCAGAGCCAACACAACTCAACAACACCTGTCCAAGGTAGGCCTTTAATTCTGTTGTCAAACATATAAATCTGCAATTACTTTAATATATTTTTGTAGAGGAGATGGTTTTGTGTCCTGCAAGCTGATGGAATTTGATGGATTGCAGATGAAAACAGTTAATAGATAAAACAGATAAAAACAGCTAATCTAGCAACTTTAGTGGGGCTGTAACTTCAAGAAAATTTCTGCGAACAAATGTTTCTATTCCTCAGCAGTGGGGAGTTGACAAGGGACTAGAAGTACTGCCCAACTTTAGACCTTCAGGACCCATTATAGAAATTCTTTATGGCCAATATTTAGACCATCTTTCTGAGATTGGCTGCAAAGGGGACTATATGACTACAGTCAAATGATTTTTTTTTCCCTCTGTTTTTAGGTATAGCTTGCAGCACTTTTGAAGAAAAATATTTGCTGTTTATGGGAACTATTCACTTAAACTTTAATTCATGGAAAAGTGATTATTTTGCACTCACAAGAAATTTGATAGCATGTTTATTAATTTTTGTAAAACTAGAAAAAAGAGGTAATTATTGATATGGTGAAAAATGGTTTCTTTGTAGTAGTAAAAATGGTTTCTGCTTAGCTCTTGTGTGCGGTTGTTTTGTTGTTGATTCTTTTTTTGACTTCAACTGAGACCCTTCGACAATATTCAGATTTCTCACAATGCATCTTTTCAGCCTTTATTGCAACAGTCTTGTTGCAAGCACATTTCAAAGATTTCGGATTCACTCAATTTGTCCCAGATTAGCCAAGCATTGTGTAAACAAGACACTGTATTAATCATTTTTGTAACGTGTCTAACTAAAAGAAAGGTATGCTTTGCAGGTTTCGCCGTTTGCAAGGGAGTTACCTTTCGTGTGCTATTGCCGTTATATTTTCGTCACTCCACTCACTCGCTGTACAATGTAATATTTTCCTCATGCCAAATATAACATAAAATCAAATGAGGACATGAGTCACTGATTTTTCTTTGTGTGATGCAAAGGAAGAGACCTTAGATATGACCTGTTATTTAACAGGCGTTAACATAACCAGTATCACCTTTTGTTAGATAATAAGTAGCTATTTTTGTCTCTTTGCTACTAAGTTCAAGGCATGGCTGATGTCGTGGGCTGGAGTACCCAAGCATTGTTAGAAAAGTAATCAATTTGAATAAAATGAGTATGTAATGAGAAAGGATTGGTGCTGTTGTGATATGTACAGGGAATTTTCCTGGAAAATATTTGTTACTGAATAATTTAATGGCCTCGGATATTAAAACTTCCGTAAAGTAACCTTTATCGACACACCTCGATGTTTAGTAATCGGGTTGAACAACATGCAAATTGCATGCAAATTAAACTTCCGAACGCGATCTTGTCGGTGGAAAAAATGTACTCTGAGACACTTAGTCAATCAGATGGAAAGTACCTCCTTAGCTTACTTCCTTTCTCAATTGAGGCTTCTTTTGCTGGTTTCTACTCCCATTCGCTCCCTAGAAGACTCTACTCCCATAGCACTCAACTTAACTCCTGAATTGCGGAATTCCGGTTCCAAGTAGAGCCTCTGTTTCTATGTCAGACCCATGTTATGGCGATGTGGCGTGGTCATTTGCCAGATTGCTTTAGATTGATCCAATGGTCCTCAAGCGTAGTCCAAGTACCTCATTTCGCGAATCAATCACGGATCAGAAGCCATTCAGTAGAGTGAATAACAAGGTTTCAAACAGAATATACACAGCATCAATATTTTAAGAATCCCGAGCTAATTTGAGACGCGAACAATTAACATCTCTTATCTTTTATGTCGAGCCATCTTTTTGCGCCTGGAAGCAATTTTGAGGTCCAATATCTGATTCACCCACCCCTCCCATGCGGGATTCAACGTAGAAGTACGCTTGGGCCGCAGGAAAGAGGGGAAACTGGAACCTTGATTATTAGCGATTAACTATTTTTGTCTTGATTACAATGGCTGGAATTGTGATCATAAATCTTTCGTGATATTCAGTTACTGTGTAGAAAGACTGTAAGTGAGAAAGCATCAAAAGCTATGTATTGTGAATGGGTTTGGAATATTTTTCTGAAAAATCGCGAGTTTGCTGGTTTGCAAGATGTTTGAACAACGAACCTCGTGACTTTCTCCACTAATTGTAAAACCGCATGTACGACTGCTGTGAAAAAGAGGATTATCGATCATTAGACAGAAAAAATCGGGCAGAACCACAGTTTAGGCTTAGGAGATTTTGCCATCAACTTTGAAGTTTTCGCTGAAGTAAATTCGATTTTTTTGGTCCATGTGACCGACAACAGTCAGTTTATGCATGAAGAGTAATAACAGGAGGTTGGGAAGACACTGCCAGATAGAGGGGACATTGCTCATATGTCGAGCATTGTTTTAATAATTGGTTTTTGGACCATTGTATTCATTTCTAATGCCTTACTAAAGGTAAGTGTAGTAAGCTTGATCATTACACATCCGTGGACCTGAAATGACAATATTATTTCGATGATGTCTCAGAGCACTTTCAATTTTATCGTGAAACTATCTTGGGGAACTATTAAGGGAAATCTTGAAACTATTCAGGGAAAACCTCTCTCTTGTCTTTCAAGGCTAGTTACTCCTATGCGTTGGGTTTCCTTTTAATCCTTTAACCTCCCGAGAGTGATTAGCATCTTATTTTTCCTCTCAACATTACCACTGAATCACACATTCAGGTTATGAGAATAAAGGTAATGATCAGCTTAAGAAATGCGCAAAGAGCAGTATTGCTTGGGGCTAGAAAAAGGGTAAACAGATCTATAAGCTGGCTCGGAGTCTAACTTTCCGATACAGCGATCTTCACTTGAGTGACAAAAGTATTCCATTCAAGGATTGCTTTGGTTTTGCTCTGCTGTTCCCTCTGATTGGTCCTGTGTCTCAAACAATCAGATGCCAGATTGAAACCAAGTGCAACTTGGACAATTTCCTATGCTTGAGACTGTTCACCTAACTTCTCCTTCCATGTTAACCAGCTGCAATTGATACACTAGAATAAGTACCACCCTTGATTAAGCACCTTCCTCGACCAAGTGCTACATTTGGGACAGAGCAGTTAATAGGCAGAGTTATTAAGCACCCTCCCTGAATAAGTCCCACAGTCCAAGGTGATAAATGAATGTAGTTAAATTACAACTTCCTTCATCCATAAAAAAAAGAAATTAATTTATGACAGAGGGGTTATAATGCATATTGCTGAGATAGCAAACTTTTTGATGACGATACATATCAGTGTAGCTGCCATTTTATAATCTTTAAAAGTAGTTGCGATCATATTTTTACCATAAAAAAAACATTTAATTTTACTTTTGTGTTTTAGAATTATAGAAAATACTCACGAAGATATAAAGAGTTTCTTGAAAATAATGGCATTTCTTTGTCACCATGTCAAGTGCGCTGGTACACTACAAGCTTCAACAGATCATTTGTCAGATTTGGAAAGATGCACCCTTACTTATTGCATGTGTGGTTTTCTGTGGGAGTTGTAGTCGGTGTTCTGTTAATGTTTGCTTCGGTTGTTATCCTTTGTCTAACTCTGTATAAAGCCTTTGCTAAAGATGCACCAGAGCAGGTGTTAACTCCTGTGGTAAGTGATTTTATTTGGTATTTGTGAAAAAGATTTCCAGTGGAAAAGAGATATGTGTGAGAAAAAAATTAAGCCCTCTGTTACCTCTGTATATACTGCTGATATTTTTTGTACACTTAGAAAATTTTTTCTCTTATACAACGAATGTCTTTTATTTTCCTTTTTCTTTTCTTGTGTGCCTATTTATGTCTTTTTATGTGTTATTTCTTTATTTCAATCTGTATTGTTTCCAAAGTAATTAATTCAATTTAATTTAGTTAAGAAGAAAATCGACCTGCTTTGGTTAGCATCTGCTATCTGCAGGTCAAAGGTGTGAAGTGTGATGCAAAGATAGAGAAGTTTTAAAAAGGGCTTTGGCATTGAGAGTGGCCAACATTTTGATAACCTTAAGTCTTTTTTAGAGTAAAATTTAACCCTTGTACTCCTAATACCTCAACGAAAATTCTCTTTTACTGTCTGTCATAAATTTCCTATAAATTTTGTTCTGGCAATTTGTTATTAGATCAAATGATAATCCCCTTGTTACTATTTTTTGTTACACTGATCACTTGGCTGCTTTATATTGTGTTGATATTATAAGGAGAAAGTACGTCTTGGCCATTCCTGGGAGTGAAAGGCTCAGAAATTTCAATTATAACACTTAAAATTGCTAGATGGCAAAGCTGCAAAAAGTCAAATTGACAGGTTTACCTAATATTTAGGTTCAGTTCCAATGGGTGATGTTCACATGTTATGGTATTTTACTTATTTAACAGATGCCAGGAGTGAATGTACCATGGAGTCAAGTCTTGTACTACCTCATCACATTGACAGTTAGTGGTGTTTTCCATGAATTTGGACATGCTATTTCTGCTGTCAGGTGTGTAGCCCATTGTTCTTTAGCCTACAAACAGGCTCCTGTTAGTGCTGAAGCTCAAGTGAAAAAGCCTACGAGAACTTTTACAAAAAACCCTTTGTGCAGTGTGGCAAGGCCACGCTTTCCACTACTTTGTCCTGTGTATTTTGTTTATTGAATAATTTTCAATCCTTTAACTCCTGAGATTTGATGGTTAATTCTCTCCTCTTAATGCTACACACTTTCTAACTTGTAAATTAGTTTGGAAAATTTGGTTAAAGATCAAGATAACAGTTTATTCCTGATAAGTTTGAGTATTCTCACTACCTGTTCATTTTAGTGTATGGATATTATAGGGAGAATTTTCCAGTTAATCACTTTTGGGAGTAAAATGGTTTCAAAGTCAGAATATCATTACATAAACCTCTTAACTATAAGAAATGAGCAATCAATTTTCTAAGGTTTTCTACCCAATGTTAATGTTTGGGATAACCTCATCAAATGTTTCTTACTACACTCTTTCATCACCTCTGTTCCATATAATGCAAAAGGTCAAATGAAAAAAATCGCTGAACACTAACTGATTTGATGTACTTAAACTTAACAGAATATTGAAAAGATAAACAATATAAAATGAGTTTATACACCAGCATTTGTGGCTGTAGTTCTCATGAGAATATCCATACACTTGGATTCATTTACTCAACTTATCATTTACTGATTAAATTACACATAAGACAAAAAAGACTATGATGTCGTGATAACACATGACATTTCCAAATGTATATTTTAGAGTGACAAGCACCACCATAGTTCCCAGATGGTTAATTTTTCTTTGTTTACTCCATGTGCCAGTTACCCTTCTTCTTTTCAAAACATGTAACTCACCTCTTTTGCAGAGAACAAGTTCGAGTGAATGGATTTGGAATGTTCTTCATGGCTGTTTATCCTGGTGCCTTTGTAGATTTGTACACTGAACATTTGACTGTCATCTCTCCATTGCGTCAACTGAGGATTTACTGTGCTGGTGTGTGGCATAATTCTGTGCTTGTCATAGTAGGTCTGGTGTTGCTGTGGTCTCTACCTTATTTGCTGGTTCCAATCTATGCCACTGGTCAAGGTGCTGTGGTATTGAAAGTTTTAAAAGTAAGTAGAAGCAAACAAAAACCCTTGTGCTACAGCACAGAGAGTTGGGAATTTGAATGGGGACTCAGAGTTTGTTTCTTTGTTTCAGGTCTTTGACAAGATGGAAAAACAACTTTCTTTACATTATACTTTATTTGTCACTTAATTGTTTTAAAAACACAATAAAACAACAACTGTACTTTATTTAATCATGCTACACTGAAGTGTGCAAGGCTCATTAGAATGCGTGCTTGTGCATGACACTGGAGTGTTTTGTAATTTTAAATAACCAAGGTGGATTGAACAAGAAATAAACTTTTCCCTTTTTTTCTCCCTAAGGAATCCCCAGTGCATGGTAGCATAACACGTGGTGACACTATCTTGTCACTATATGGATGTCAGGTGTATAACAAACAGGATTGGAACAGTTGTATAAGTAAAACACTCAGTTCCCCCCAACATGGCTACTGCACAGACATGCTGACCATCGCCAGGAAGAACTCCTCTAAAGGTAAAAAGATCTTGAAGTACTGCAGCTGCTCCTCTTGGGATGAACATGCAGGTTCCCACCCCTCCCCTCTCCACCCATCAAGCATCCCATTAGATATCCTGATGGTC